CACACACACACACACACACACACACACAAATGTTTCATCTGTTCACAGCACTGAAATGACTAAATTTGATACATTTAAAAATTGACAAACTAATATGAAACTGTCAACATTTTTGAAGCAAATATCCTTTGCTTTGCTCTGAATTGAAATAGTCTGTACCTTTCCCCCATACACAAACTGACAATAAACCCATTCAGCTTTAATGTAAAGTCCTTGACTGTCTTATTACCACTAGGACACTCTGTATTAAAAATCGAGGGACAAAAAAAAAGTTAGCAACCTGATATTCCAGCTTTCACCTCTGGGGATTTTCACGTTTTTTTTTTTTTCTTCCTTTCCGCTCTCCCTGGAGTCTTAGCATATGGAGAAGAAATGCATGAACGAAACTGAGGAGGAAGGGAAAGCATGACTGCGACTATAATGAGAGAGAGAGAGAAATAAGAAAGATACTGTGAGAGAGAGAGAGAGAGAGAGAGAGAGAGAGAGAGAGACTCCAATCCAACACCCTGCGAACCCAACTCCACCTTCACCGCCCACATCCCTGGCTGCTGAAGATTTTTCTTTGAAGACAAGATGGTGGCCATTAGCAGACAATTTTTCTTGCCATATACAACCAACCTGCTCCTACGCACAGGACAATGTTATCTTCATTCTTCCATCCTCACTTCCATCCCCTTCATCTCCCCTACACTCATCTCCGCATCTCCTCAGCAACATCAGCAACCCGTCTCAGGTAAATTTCCCACCACGTTCAAGAAGATCCACAACGATGAGATGAATGATTACTAATGTGAGATGGGGGAAGTAAAAAACAAAGGAAATATACAGTCTAAAAACACATCATTAAATATTAATGATTAAAAAGAGTCCAGAGAAGGCATTATAAGTCATTCAAACACTTATTTACAGGATTCCGCATAGCTCTTATCTAATCCAGTTTACAGAAGTGATGGCGCCCAACGTGGGGCACAAACCTACAATCCTGAGATGAAGAGTCTTATGTTCTACCGAGACTACCACTTAATCCCAAAACATGCTTTTACCTACTTAAGAACTACAGGCCATTTCTCTCAAAACAACGAAGAGTAATAATGCATAGTCCCGATATAATCCTTTCACAAATGTAAAAACTGTAGTGAGTGTATATACAAGGTTTTACGGTAACCACCAGGTGACAGGTTGGAAAAATGCCACTTGTCTGTACTGCTTAAGATGTAGACACTAAAAAGGTTTACATGCACACTTTCTTCCCAGCAGAAAACAAGAGCATGTGCATGTAAAATTGTCCCCATCTTAACTAAAAAAGATGAGCAGCACCATCGTAAAACCCTGTATATAGGTCAGAGGAAAATGGCCAGATTGGTTCGAGCTGCCAGGAAGGACACAGTAACTCAAATAATCACTCTTTACAATCGTGGTAAGCAGAAAAGCATCTCAGTATGCACAAAACATTGAACCTTAATTGTACAGGTGTTCCGAATAAAGTGGACACAGAGTGTATATTAATTCCAGTTTTTATATGTTAGATCTGACACTTCGTTATAGGTCTTTTGGCTGAAAAAGTTCGTCTTTCAGTGGCATCAATAATAAATGTAACTAATATCATACTTGTCTAATGTTAGCTAGGTCAAACATTCTATACATCGATAGACTTTATTTCACATGAATAAGCTCAAAACATTCTCCGTTTACCTTGCTGGAAAACGAGGCTACATCTTTCAAGCAAGAAAATTAAGACAAAATGCAAGATTGATAATGTGAATGGTTAATAATGTGAGATGGGGGAAGGTGGTGGGACTCTCACTCATTTTGATTGATATGTTGATTGGCTCGTCTGTCATTAATATTGGGGGAAAACAAGAAAACTGCTCTTTTTGTGTGTTTTTGAGTGATACCTTGTAGAAGCAAACTGTGGAATTCCTTATGCAAAATCCATAAAGGTTGGCATGTCTGTGAAAATAACCTGTCTTCAATCATTTTTTTCGTTTACAGATTGGTGGGCTGGATCACATCCAATCTGTTTACAAAAGAAGCCACTCTGCTAAAATTGTCCTGGACGGTTGATGACAACGTGCAATCTGTAAGAACTGTTGTCAAGTCCTCTGGACTCATATTTCTGATATAGTACACCATCAGATTGTCCTAGCCACCTTATCCAACGTTTGTATCACAGCAACCACTCTGGAACAAGATTATTCAAGTCTTGCCTCTTGGGATGATCCTACAGGGAATTTTTTCCTCACTGTATTGTGTGTATTGGGAAGGATCGTCCATGCTCGTGGCTGCTTTTATCTGCCTGTCCTGCCCTTCAAAAATACCTCATATACAGATATCACTACATGGATCAAAGATCACCATCTCAAAGTCAAATCAAATTCAAGCCCTTGATGCTTGCTCATGGTATAATCAACAAAATCTTGCCCACCTACATGTAGTAACTCATCATGACCTACTCTATCATCTGCAAATGAAAAGCGTTTGATGATACCACTACCATGGTACTAAGTATCTTCTCAAATCATAGTTCTGCAGTGCTGTTTGTCCTTCAGATTCCACAGTTTTTAAGAAATGCCTGAAGATTCAGATCTTCTAAATCCACCTAAAGATGAAAGATTCCCACCTCCAACTCAGCTTGTAGATTCTAGTGAAGTGAAATGACTTGTGGCCAAGTACGGTGACCCATACTCGGAATTTGTGCTCTGCATTTAACCCATCCAAGTGCACACACACACCCGGAGCAGTGGGCAGCCATTTTAGCTGCGGCGCCCGGGGAGCAGTTGGGGGATCGGTGCCTTGCTCAAGGGTCTCAGCTCAGTCATGGTATTGAGGGTGGAAGAGAGCGCTGGTCATTCACTCCCCCCACCTACAATCCCTGCCGGACCCGAGACTCAAACCCACAATCTTCAGGTTCACCTTCGGGTTACAAGTCCGACTCTCGGACCATTAGGCCACGACTGCCCCCAGTCCTCCTGGTTAATCCTTCAATCCAATGTAACATCGTTGTACACCTCAGATCCTTGTAGCTACTACCATCATGGTCTGCCAGGAATCTTGGGTTAACAATTGACTATTAAACCATTGCAGGTCTTCAACTAACTAACATAAGTACACAATACACATTTCTTCATTTTACTTCATTAGTTCCCTGTAGCAAATCACATCACATTCAAGACCTTGATGCTTGCTTATCAAGTAACTGAAACTGAAATTTGCCCACCTAGTACCTCATCAGTGCCTACATTCCATCCAGATCACTGTGGTCTGTAAGTGACCAGGATCTGGAGATACCACTGATGAACCACCATGTATTAATAAGTGTCTCAAACTCTCAACTTCATTTGTCCTTCAAGAAATTTCTGAAGATGCAACACTTCTAAGATTACCTGTAGTTTATGCAGTTACTCAGCTCTGTGTGTGTATGTGTCAATCCACTGACTGAAATCATTAGCTTGATTGATCTTGCATTTTAAATATAATGAGTTGTGAGCCACCCAGGAGGTGATATAAAGAGATATACAGACATCTTTGTGTTTAGATATTTTCTATCGGAATAAAGAATGATCCCCTCCAGAGTGTGCTGGCTCGGTCTATTTCATCATAAAGTAGGTCTTTGCATCAAAATATGATTCGTGGCGTGTCTGACGTGACTGACGCTTGGTGTGTGGTATACAGAGATCTTTGTGTTGTAAATAACTAATCAATAACTAATGGCTCCTTCACTTGCTCACAAGTGCACTTGTTTGGTCTACTGAATCAGGAAGGGTTTTTTGGATCAAAATATAATGAGTGGCGAGCCAGCCAAGAGATACAAACCAGCACAGAGGATCGGAAAACAATCAGAGTCGCAACTTTGGATAGTCTGAAATGAAAAAATCAACGTCCGCCCAACCCCACCTGGCTGCAAACTGACAACTCTTCCTACACACTTATATGTCAACTCACGCAAGTTTATTTTTGCCATGTGAACCAACGAACCTCCAGGTTACTCAAATTACTCTACTATTATTAGTGTGTATTATTTATCAGGATTGTTCTATTTGTAGCTTGAATGATTTGTCATCAATAATTTGAGGCACTTCTGTGTACTAGTACATACTTGTTTTCAGTTGTAGCTGTATCTGTGACTATCCTGAGGGAGAGAGAGAAAAAGAGAGAAAGAGAACGTATATGCTCTGATAACTAAAAACGCTGAGTGTAACGCATGTTGAGAATAAAACGGGAGGAAGCAGACTAGAACCTACTTCACAGAAAGACGCAAAAATGACAGAACAGGAGAAAGAAGAATGAACGAATGAGAGAGAGATGAAGTGAGAAGGGAGAGAAAGAACAGATTGAGAGTGTCAGTAAAGCAGGCACGGAGCAGATGGGGATTTCACAATGGCTAATCTCGCTGCGTTCCCCATGTTTATCATTCTTTTTGTTCCACTACGTTGAGTAAGCAAAGGCCTGTTCTTCTTCCTTCTTTTTCCTTTCTCTCTTTTCCCATCTGCTCATATCGATTCTCATTGATTCTGATTGTTTCCAGATCGATTTGTACAGAATTACGGTTGTTGTACAGTAGCATCTTCATGAAAGTAGACAAAGGGTTTTACTAAAACTTTCAGAACAGGTAGAATGTTGGAAGGCCGTCAGCATCACCGGTTGAATGTTCAAAAACACCAAATGATCTCAAATTCTAAAATGATCACTTTTGCTTCTACAAATGGAAAATATCATATTAATATTCCACATCAATGCCCAAATCAGGGACCATCCAGAGAGTAGTCTTCCTACTGTCCGTTCTTTCTTTCTTTCTTTCATATCCCTCCTTATCCTATGCTTGCACCTTCACTTCCTTCTTCTCCATCATTGTTTTTTTCCTGCCATTCCTTCTCGCCTTCTACTCCTCTATCCTTTCCCTTTTGTTCTCCATTCTTTTTTTGTACTGACTTGGACTTGTCTCGGATTTATTGGCAATGCTACTTGTTTTGTTCTCAGATATTGGTCCTGCTAGGTTGGTCTAGCGGTTGCTCAGTGGTTAAAGCATTAGGCTACTGCTCATAAGGTTATGAGTTCAAATCCCAGCACCACCAAGCTGCCACTGTTGGGTCCTTGAGCAAGACCCGAATCCCTCGACTGTCTTGTTGTAGCTTGTCTCAACTGTAATGGGGCAAGTGTTAGAAGTGCTAAGAGACCTTGTAAAAATGATGTGTGTGTTATCATTTCGTTTTTTCATAAACGAAGTTTGACAAGAAGTAATTCCTTTCAGAAAACAGCCTAATTTGGCACATTCCATGAAAGAAGTGGAATAAAGTCTTGGGCTAGGGAAAGGATTTGATGGTTTTCGGTCTTGATCTGGACTTGGTCTCGACCCTATGCATTAAGACGCAGGTTTGACTCGATCTCAGCTAGTCCCCGTTTTGGACTTGACAGTGGCGTTCTTGTCTACAGCCCTACCTTAAACAGTGTTGTTATACTGTCTACATCACACTTTTTTTTTCATATCTTCAATGTAAAAAAAAAAAAAAAAACACTAAGTGTGAAAGCAGCCTTATTTGTTTGCTATACTAGCTCCAGAAAGAAAGTTTTCCACAAAAAGCTGTGTATGTTGTGAAGCCCGTTGTGGATCTGCCACTAAATCCAATTAGATTTACAATACTGAGGCGGAAAGAAGCCATTAAACATGTGATGATGAAACCGCAGGATTTCATTAGCTCGGTGACAAAAGGGCCGAACTTTATTTAAACAAGCCTCGCTCATCACTTTTCATTTAAATGCAATTAAATCTCACCATCTTCTCTCTGCGTTTCTGGTTTTCTCTGCTTTTTCATTCAATCTCTCTCTCTCTCTCTCTCTCTCTCTCTCTCTCTCTATCTTTCTCCTTCTCTTTCTGTGGTACTGATGGACAGATGATGCCTCCATCCACTCGTACTTATTAAAGCGAACGGCAACTGTAACGAGGACACAGAGACCATCTGGGTGGCTAGAATTTTTCCCACGCTCCTCTGTCTCTTTATATTCTTTTATCTCTTTTTCCGCCATCCCACACATCAATCCACAAATCATCCCACACATCAGTCCATTCTTCTGTCCATCCTTCTTCATTTCCGTCCTCCTTTCCATCATTTTTATTCCTGCTGGTCATTTTCTTTCCTTTTTCACCCACGCTTTCTTCTTTCCTGATGACGTTTCCGTTCCATGCTGTTTATCAAACCCAAATACAAATTGTAGCAAAGCCATGGACATTGAAACCCACCTGGGTGGCTGAAATCTTCCCATCATGCACTGGGGCAGCACCCTTCTATCCTCCTCCATACTATTATCCCTCCATTCTGCCGTCTTTCTCTCAGCACACCAACCCACACATCAGCCTAAATCACGGCCCACTGCGTGCGTTAGCGCCTGCGGCTAACGGCCCGCTGCCATCACTCGCCTGCAAATCCAATCAAACCTCCTCTCATCTCTCTCTCTCACACACACGCGCACACACACACACACACACGCTGGGATGCAGTGCAGCAGACATGCGAGTCATCACATTCCTCCTGCTCGCTCCACGGCTGGAGCAAAACTCAGCAAAAGATAATAACTGCATTTCATTCTTTTATTCCGTTATTTCACTCACACAGAGAGCCGAGACACAGAGTGCTTTAAGAGGAAAAACAAACACATCAAAAAGAAAGAAAGAAAGAAAATCCAGTATGGATTGTGAAATAATCTTTAAATTATAGAAATGTTCTGGAGAAAAAAACGGAAACAGATTGAAAAGGTGTAAAATAATAAAACAAGAGAAATTAAATCTAAGATGAGAAAAAAGTTCATTTATATCTAAAATGTTCTTCTTTTTTTACCTTTTCTGTCTCCCTGTCCTTCTTTTTGTCCTTCTTTTTGTCCTTCTTTCCATCATTCTTTCCTTTGCTTCCAGTTTTGTCCTTTTGCTTCTCCTTTCTTTATATCCATCCTTCGTTCCTTTTCATTCTTCCTTCATTGCTTCATGTTTTTTTCTCACATCCTCCATTCCATTTCTTTTCTCCTCTCAAACTTTTTCCTTTCAATCTTTTCTTAAGTCTGCCCTTCCTATCCTTTCTTTCTTGCCCTTCTTCCTGTTCTATTTCCTGTCTTTCTTTTTCCTTGTTTCTTTCTGTCTAATACTTCATACTTGTTTACTTCTTTTCTTCCTACTTTCTGTACTTCTTGTACTTCCAGTGCTTTCTTTCTTTCTTTCTTTCTTTCCTCATTTCTTTCTTTCTTATCCTTTCTTTCCTTCTCCTTTCCTCCCACCCTTCTTCTTGTTTTATATCCTGTCATTCCTTTTTCCTTCTGTTTCTGTCATTCTTTCTTTCTGTCTAATACTTGTTGACTTCTCTTCCTACTGTCTGTTCTTCCTGTGTTCTTTCTTTCTTTCTTTCTTTCTTTCTTTCTTTCTTTCTTTCTTTCTTTCTTTTCATTTTTCCAACCTCCTTTCCCATATCTTTCTTTCTGCCATTCTTCCTGTTCTAATTGTCCTTCTTTTCTTCTTTCTTTGCACTCCAATCTGTGGGAAGTCACTTCATTTTTTTTCCCACGGTCCTTGTCCTTTTTTTCCTTCCTCCTTCTTTCTCACCTCCCTTCTTCCTGTTCTTCTTCCTGCCTTTCCCTTCTTCTTTCTTCTGTTTATATCTAGCATTCCCACCAATTCCCCATCCTTCCTTATTTCTTTTCCTCTTTGTTCTGTCTGTTCTTCCTTTGTTCCTACCTCTGCTTTCCCACCCTTCTTCCTGCTCTACCATTCTTCCTGACCTTCCTTCATTCCTTCCTTCTGTTTCAGTCTGTGGTTCCTTCTTTCTTTCTAAACCCATATCCTTTCTCACTTGTTCAGTCCCCACTGCTCGCCCCTACTGTCCTTTCTTTCTTTTCTTCTTCTGCTTCTGTGACGTAGCAAATCTGTTTTCCAAACCAAGACACGCTGTCAAATCAAAACCCTCGTTGGGAAGAATAAGTCGCTGAGAGTTGGGCAATCACTGTCAATGCAGATGAGTAAAAAGAGCACACACACACACACACACACACACACACACACAGGTCTGCTTCACCGTCATTAAATATTCAACACGACATCTTTGTAGACTGTTGTTAATTAGTCTCTGTAACAACACAAAGGTCTCGCGCTGGATTACCTATGACAACCTTCATTTGCATGCATATTAAACGCCGCTATCAACTGATAGCTCGCTGATCAAATCAGACGCGCTGTTTTGTTTTCATCTCCTCCTGTTCGTCTCCTCTCTCCTTCTCTCTTTCATCATAGGCGGACAGCAATCAAGCATGCCGAGTGCTTATTAAGACTTCATGTATTCCGTGTTTAGTTTAGCGTCCTTTAAAGGCTAAATTAGCATGGCTAAACATGGTGTCTTCATCCAGTCAATTATCCTCCAGGATTAATCCATCAGCTTCCCTTTCACAAAACGAATGAATGAAATATACTTACAATAAAATGAAATAAAACCGACATCACCTGTTTACTCTTTCTCCTACAGCCTGTACTTTTCCAATCTTCCTGTTCTCACTTACGCTATAGCAGCTATAAACAGCCATTCCCTCACCAGCCTCTTTTTCTTCTCTCTCTCTCGAAGTTAATAAGACAAAATAAATTGCAGGTTTTCATGTTGCTTAGAAACCACAAAGCACAAACTCCTCTGTCTTGAACACTCTGTCCGGAAAACTGTCACAAAGCACCGAAACTGGAGACTCCTTCCATCAGCATCTCCTTACCGAAAACTTCACCACATCAACAATTAGACAATTAGTTGTTCTTTGTTAAATAACAACACGTGTGTACGTTGAGCTGGAGGCTTACCAGTGATGGAGAGGGGGCGGGGGGGGCAATACTTTTGTACAGTGCAGCACATGGAGTACGATCAGTAACTGTGCTTCTAAAAAGGTGGAGCTGATAAAGAGCTATTTACTGTAGTAGTAAGGAAGGAAAGTTGAGGAAAGTTGAAAGTAAGATAAAGATAAAAGGAAGCTAGGAAGGATAGAAGGAAGGAAGAATAGAATGAAGGAGAGATGGACAGGAGGAAAGAGAGAAGGAAAGAACAATAGAAGGGAGGAGAGATAAAAGAAGGAAAAATGGCTGGGAAGGCCAGGAGGCAGGATAAAAAAAGGAAGGAAAGATGGAAGGAAGGAGTAATAGAAGGAGAGATGGAAAGCAGGAAAGAAGGATAAAAAAGAAAGGACGGAAAGAAAAAAGAAGTACAGACATAAAATGAAGAATGGAAGGATGAGAAATAAAAGGACTGAAGTACTGAGGCAGGAAGAATGGCAAAAGGAAATGAATGGAAAGAAGAAAAGTAGATGGAAGGGAGGACAGAAGGATAGAATGAAAGATATAAGGAAGGAAGGGTTGAAAAAGAAGGTGAAGGGAGAATTGAATCAATGAATAGAAGAAGGAAGGAAAGAAAGGGGGACAGAAGACTGGAAGGGCAGTATGAAGAAAGGAAGAGTGAACAGACTGTAGGAAGAAGAACTGAAAGTAAAAAAGAAAGTGAAAGAGAAAAAGTGAAAGTTAGTAAAAAAGAAAGAACATTTCTGTCACAATTATAACTGCATCTCTCCTTCCTTTTTCCTTTTTCTCTCTTTCCTCATCTTTGTCTGTTCTGTTTTCTGTCTATACCTTCTTCTTTCTCTCCTCTTTTCCTGCATTCTCATATCTGTTTCTTCTCTTCGTCCTTCACTCTGTTCTGTGAGAACTTTGTGTGTGTGTGTGTGTGTGTGTGAGAAATGTAAAGTTTGAATAAGGGTCGAAATACGAATTTTCACACCCACGGGAATGGAAGTGTTCCAAACACACACACACACACACACACACACACACACACACACACACACACACACACACACACTCCTAGAAACAGAAGGGTCTAAATGGATTGTGTTAATACTCTGTGTAGCCTGCAATGCAATTTTTTCCCAATTGACCTCATCACCACCCCCACACACCACACACACTCGCCTCAGACACAAACACACTCATGTGGAATACTGAACAGCCACCAGCCACACACACACACACACACACACACACACACACACACACACAGAGAGAATTCTAAATA